ACACTTTGGACCTACGTTCTCTTTAGTCCTTTGTGACTAGAAACTACTGTAACGTTAGACTTTGCCCTTTCAAACCGCTCAACATCCTGCCTAGGCCACACAAAAGATTCAATGTGGAACCCCCACTCGGTGAACTGGGCTCAACCTCAAACTCACCGGGGAACCCTTCTGACAGGCTTGGGCCTGGGGGGCCCTGGCTTTGGTTTGGGGAGGTCGCGGCTTCTCGGGAGGAGGAGGGTCTCGATGGACGGTCGAGGGAACGCTTTTCTTGTTCTTTTCCAACCGCGGGTTAGGGGGTTCCTGGGCCCCGCCGCGGCCCCCCGGGCCGGGACCCTGGGCCGAGCCTGCCGTCCATTGAGATCGACGGGCTTTCCGCAGGTGTCGCTTCTCCTTTTTCAGCTCCTTGCGGCGTTTCTTCCCGCCCGCGCGGAAGCCGGACGGTGCGCCGCGACCCTCGGCCCGGGACCCCGGGGGCGTTCCCTTGACGCCCGCGGGGGCCTCACGCTCAGAGGTCGTCTGTACAAACTCCTCCACCGCCAGCTTGAGCCGTTTCATAGGCCCCTTCCCAGCACGCCCGTGCCCGCCGGGCGGACGGCGCCCCGCTTTGCGCTTCATGCCGGAGCGCGCACGTCCAGCAAGCGGCTGGGGTGTCGACTACCACGCGCCCACGGGCGCAGCCATCTTCCAGGGGCTAGTCTTCCGGCCTGGGCGGGGCTTGCGAAACGGGAAGGGCGCCGTTGAGCCCGGCTCTGTGCTCGGGGGACATGTCGCCACCTGCTGGCCGGAGGCCAGCAAGACCCAGAGCCTCGGTGTGACACGCTGTTTTTGGGGTGTGACGCACCCGAGCCATTTGGACCTACTTACTTTTAACTTGTTGCGATTTGGATACAAGTTCAGAGACAAGTTGTTTTCCATTCAAGCATCTTTACGCCCTTTTACTTTATGGTATGGACCGCAATCCTCACCAACCCTCTTCCCGCTTCTTCCCTGCGATTCCCGTTTCCATTTGTTCTTTTCCATGCCTTCCTGTCATCTGGGGGTCACTCCTGGGACGGCTGCCCTTTTGATATCATATGGTTGCTTGTTCTAAAGAGTGCGTTTTTCCGCGGAGCCAACAGTGACAGATACAGGGGACTAGTAAGAGCTCTAAAATGGACAGTGAGGAGGGTGTAGCTTTTCTGGGCGTGTTTGATCATTCGAATTGTAGCTGAGAAGAGTTACTGAGAGGTAAACAACAGGCAAGTATAATACTGGGGCAGGAGGAAAAAACAAACACCAGAACCCAAATATATATGTGCATATATGTATAAATATACATATGTGAATATGTGTGTATTTGTTTATGTATGTATATATACATGTAAATGCAAGAAGGAAACATTTGGACTTTGGGCTTCTACTTAAATCTTACCTCTGTACAAGAACGGTTTGTTCTAATAATGTAGCACTGTATGCACCTCCTTGACATGATCACTGAAGACAAAGTGGGTGCATAAGCAAATGTGGTAAAGAAAGCTGATGGTGCCTGGCTATCAGAAGCTATAGTGTCTGGGGTCTTAAAGGCTTGGAGTTAAACAAGCTGCTATCTAGCAAGGAAGCAACAAAGCCCACATGGAAGAAGCACACCAGCCTTTGTGATCATGAGGTGTCGATGGGAAGAGGTATCACAAGTTCAAAAAACACGGATCCAAATTCACATGAAGGGGACTGGATGTAGTGGAGACTGGTCTCTCCTGACTGTCCAAAGTATGTGAGACAAAGTCTTGCCATCCTTGCTTCTAAGGAACATTCTGGTGATTGAAGTTCAGACATAATTTAAAAAAAAAACAGTTTTATTGGCATATACTTCACATATCGTACAACTTAATCATTCAATAATATTAAGATTGTGCAATCATTACCACAATCAATTTCAGAACATTTCCTTCTCAGAATCACTGTTGTTAGCTTCCCATTCCCCCCATCCTCACCTGCCATACCCTGATCTAGTTCCTGGCTCTGTAGTTCTGCCTGTGCTGGATTTTCATATATGGAAAATCATACAGAACACAATCATACACAATCCTTCTAAAACCCCCCCCCAAAAAAAATCCAATAATAATGACTAGACAAAACAGAAAAAACATTAGAAAACAGAAAATAGTAAACATGTAAACAACTTTAAAATGGATCAAAGGGGAGACCAAATGAAAGGGCATTACATTTTAATGTAACTACATCTGCCACAATTGACTTTATTATATATCACCCCCTTATATGTACGTCTTAAAAATCACTCCAATAGAGGGGATCGCCCATCACCTGGGGTTCATTTTTCAAGATGAGAGAGAACATTCAGTTGCTGCCCTACAACATGGTGCTAAGGGTACCCCAAGTCAGCAGACACTCTTTCCTACAGAGTGATAAGTGAACCTTACTGGAAATTCAAGTCAAGATGGGGAGAGGGGGGTGATTACAGTACTATTGGTGGGTACCCAGGAGGAGCAACTTCCTATCAAGAAAAAAATGCTATCAAGAAAAAAACAATACATACCTAGAACCCAAGGGGAGAACATGCCTGGGACTGTGCCTACTTGGACACTTTGGACCTACGTTCTCTTTAGTCCTTTGTGACTAGAAACTACTGTAACGTTAGACTTTGCCCTTTCAAACCGCTCAACATCCTGCCTAGGCCACACAAAAGATTCAATGTGGAACCCCCACTCGGTGAACTGGGCTCAACCTCAAACTCACCTGGAGCAGATTTGTGGAACTGACATACTCCAGGTGTGAGAAGACGCAGATGACTGCTATCCCGAGGTTATGGAATTGGCTGTCATTGGACTTTGGGTCCTTTCCTGTACTTTGAAGATGGCCAATGGACTGTGGCCTGGGACTACCATATAGTGACTACTTTCATGCTCTTCCTGTGTTCTTATGATACGGACTAACCTTGTAAGCATGATTCTGCCTTTGTGGATGAGTGTTATTGAAAGGTTTGCCCTATTACCAACCCACATTGTTTGTGTAATTAGTGTCCAATGACTTTAGAGTTTAATCCGTATAAATCAACAATTCATGTATTGCAATCTGAAGCTGGTCTAACTTGTATAATGTTCTTTCTCAACCATGTTTTAAGTTCTATATCATTGGCTGCATTAATGCCACAATCAATAGAATTAGCTTATGCCCCAGGGGGATGATGTTAGTTTCTATCATAAAAAGATAATGATGTCTCTAAGATGGACCAGAGACATATAGAAGCCAAGATATATGAGCAGATTTTGGGCTCTCACTTGATTCTAGACCCAATCTATCAGCAATTAGTTCTTATGACATGGCCCTGATTGGTGCTCACCCTCATGAAGAGATCACTGAAGATATGGGTGCTATAGCAAAGTGTGGTGACGAAACTAGATGGTGCCCAGCAATCAGAAAGACTAGCTTCTGGTGTCGTACAGTCTTGTCTTCAAACAAGCGCCCTCTGAGTGAGGTGTCAGCTAAATCAATATAGAAGAAGCACACTAGTCTGTATGGTCCAAGGATTGTAAATAATAAAACCCAAATCTGAAGGGAATAGTATTAGAGCTTAAATTGTGAGCAGCTGGTTTGCAGAAGGCTATGGATCGCAGCGAGAGCCTAAAATCCATTTGTGGGGTTCCCACATCGATTAAGTTGCTAGTTAATTCCCTCTGTCCATAGTTGAGGGATGTGAATAGCCTTGCTATCATACAGATATTATTTGAATTCTTTATGTTATTTCTACAATATAGCTATACTTTGAAAAGTCCAGGGAAAGACAGTTTGCCCTCAGGAAGAATGTAATTTAGATGAACTGGAATGCAGAAAAGTGCTCATGCCAAAAACTAGGGGACTTACTTGGGCGTTTACTGAAAATAGACAACCAGACCCATATTCTCTGATAAGTTAAAAGCTTGGGGGTAGGGTGGAGTATTGCCTTCAAGCCACTTAAAAAAAAATCATTTTATTAGGGGCTCATATAACTCTTATCACAATCCATACATACATCAATTGTGTAAAGCACATTTGTACATTCATTGCCCTCATCGTTCTCAAAACATTTGCTCTCCACCTAAGCCCCTGGCATCAGCTCCTCATTTTTCCCCTCCTTCCCTGCTACCCCCTCCCTCATGAACCTTTGATAATTTATAAATTCTTATTTTGTCATATCTTGTCCTGTCTGACATCTCCCCTCACCCATTTTTCTGTTGTCCATCACTCAGGGAGGAGGTCACATATAGATCCTTGTAATCGGTTCCCCCTTTCCAACCCACCTTCTCTCTACCCTCCCAGTATCGCCACTCGCACCACTGGTCCTGAAGGAATCATCTGCCCTGGATTCCCTGTGTGCCTTCAAACCACTTTGTGAATATGATTCAGGGTCACAGGATTGTGGGGCACTACCCCTCCCTGCCAACTGAAAATCTAGGTAATTAAAGCTGCAGAATCAATCCTAAACCATTTAAACCTGCAGTTATGTATGTGCCCCAACCATGGTGCTCTCTCTGCTTCGTCCTTGCATCCATCACTTGCTACCACGATGACTGCGTCTGCCACTGTGGCAGTTACATCATCTCCTGTCAAGTTGAGTGAAGGGGTCGAGTCTAGCCTGTTAATCAGGTCATAGCCAATGATGCTTCTGGGTGGGCATGGCCTTCTCCTGAGGATTCTGGGGAACTCCTATCTTCCTCCCTGGGAGGCAGGAGCCACACTCACTCTCTGCTACACCTTCCTGTTGCCAAGCCACATGGAGACACACTGATGGCAGCCAGAGCCCTGGAGATGCTTCCACTGCCACTGGAGCCACAAGACTTTGCACCCACCGGCCTGTGATCTTCCTGCAGTCAACATCATTGCCTGTGCTGCATGAGTCTGAAAATGAATTTATGAACAAGTATCGGACCTATGGGCTAGTATCAGACTTATGGACGATCTGGACTGGGCTGGAATTTTTTCTTAATATATAATTGCTTCTTGCTAGAAAGTTCTTTCCTATAAATGTATGCATCTCCCTGGATTTGTTTCTCTAATCTACCCTGACTAACACAGCCACTCCTTAGGCTCATGTGATGACTCCCCTTGTTCTCTCTTATGGGTCTATTCCATCGGCCTCAGTGTCGGGTCATGTTCATGGTGTTTCCCCATCGGGATGGTTCTCCTTTGTTTGGCTTTGTCCTCTGTAAGGACAGTGGTCTCGAAGGAACATTTTGAGGAACCCTGGTGGTGGTGTGGGCTTTGTTGAACTACTAACCCCTAGGTCAGCAGCCAGAAACCACCGGCTGCTCTCAGGGGAAAGTTGAGACTTCATGCTCCCATTTAGATGTACAGTCTCAGAAACCCACACAGGGCCCTTCTGCTCGGCCCTGCGTGGTTGGTGGGGGAGAGAATAGATTCGATGGCAGTGAGCTTGGTTGTTTCTAGAACATTTTGAACCTGGGGTGCTTTTCCTCTAGCACGAGTAGATGGTTTTCAGTGTGACTATCAAACCCAGCTCTTCCCTAATCACCTTCTTTGGAGCTCACCTGTTGTAGCCCCAGTTCCTTCTGCTCCAACTCCCTGGGCTCCTTGAGGTTTTTGAATCACACCAGAAATGATCTTCTCTTAGAACTTCTCTCTGTTTGTTTCCTGCATTAAGGAAAAGTCTTCCCTTAGTTATTAATATGGCTTATTACATCTCCTCTGTCAGAGGTTACTCCGATATCATATCAATGAACTCTCCTGTTGGCTCTGCTTCAAATTGTGCAACCATCTGATTCCCTTTACATTCCCCGCCCCAGAGCATTTATTGTCCAATTCACTTAGTCTGTTCCTTGTTAACTTTTCACCCTGATCATGTGAGCACATGGATTTCATGTTTTATGGGCAAGTCTTCAGGGTTAGAATAGTGCCTGACACACAATAGGCCCTCAATAAACAGATGTTTAAAGAGTGCGTGCTTTATTATTATTTGTATTGACTACAAAGGATATTTGATCGTAGGGAGGTGATTGTGTGGTTGTTAGCTGCTGTCCCGTCAGTCCCAGTTCCTAGCCACCCTCCGTGACCCTCTGGGTGATAGAATGACACACTGCCTGCTCCATCACCGTCCTCACAGTCACTGCTGTGATTGAATCCATTATTGCAGGCGCGGTGCCAATCCATCCTGTTGAGAGTCCTCCCCATTCCACCGCCCCTCTACCAAGTCTGCCGTCCTTCTCCAGGGTCTGGTTCCCCTGATAACAGGTCCAAAGAAGTCTCACCATCTTCACCTCTAAGGGAGCATTCTGGCTGTACTTCCCCCAGGCCAGATCTGCTTGTTCCGCTGGCAGTCCACAGTACAGTACTTCTAATGGTCTTCACTAACACTAATTCAAATGCATCAACTCCTCTTTGGTCTTCCGGACTCCCTGCCCAGCTTGTGCATGCTCATGAGGCACATGAATCAGTTCAAAGTAGCATGCCTTGGCTCAAGCGCACCGTAGTCCTGTTTAGAGCACTTTTTAAAGAGGTGTTTTGTGGCAGATTTGTCCGATGCAGTGTCGTTGGATTTCTTGACCGTTGCATCCCTGAGGGTTGATTGTGGATCTGAGTAAAATGAAATCCTTGACAACGCCAGTCTTTTCTGTTTATCCCCATGTATCGGGTTGTGAGGCTTTCTGTTGGAATTGCTGCAAGAATTACCAAAACATGACACAGAATCATGAAGTGAGCACACACCACTGCAAAACTCGGCCCCTTGGACTTTCTTGACACAGGGCTGCCACACCCTCACTTTGTAAAGGATGCGTGATCTGTGACACACAGTTGAGCGAGCCGCAGTGCAAAAGGCATATCCACAAACACACAGACACATGCATCATAAGTTATGACAATTGGTCTAAAAATCACTAAGCTTTGCCTCTGTGCTCCTTTTTTGCTTGAGACGAGCGATGTGAATTACATCGAGTTTGGTCACTTTTCTAAAACCACGACTCATCTTTTCTCTTTTTATTTTATACGGAATGAATGCCAACCAGGTGCCTCCGGAACCGCTGAAGCCTTGTAAGCTGCTTGCTTCTTGTCTGCCTGGTGGCTACAGCTCTGGCTTCTCCTCCTCAGTTGTCAGCTGCCGGCTCTCTGTGTAGCTTCCCTCTGGGTCCTTGCTTGCTCGCTTACACAGATGGGGCAGTTGAGCCTAAGGGGGATTCGGTGGCTTTCCGCAGAATAAAACGCAAGGACTTAGTTTCCACTCGCCCCAGCAGCCTTCTCTCCAACCCATGGCGAGGTTGCGGTGGGGAGTCCTTATTGACTGCACAGTCCTTAGTGACTCCTCTCAAGGAAATGATACTGGGGAAGGCAGGACGTAGAAGCAAATCATAACACGCCTATGTTAGTGGTCAATGGAAAAGAAGAGTTCCAGTAAGGACAAAAGCTAACAACCAGGTAAGGCTCAAAAGGAAGAGTGTTTAATAGAGAGGGCTCTGGGGCTGATGCCCCCACTTCCCGGCTAAGTGGCCCTGTTCTAAGCCCTGGGTCTGCTTCTCCATCTGCAGAATGGGGCTGGTGATGCGGTGTCATAGGGTCATGGGGTTGCTGGATAAACTGTGCTTTAAACTATCCTCTGTTTTTGTTCCCTATAGCTCATTGTATCGTCCTTAATTTCTGTACACGGTTTTCCTAGGCTGACTTTACTATGGTTGGTCTTTCTCTCTCTCTGTAGCCAATGCCATATGTTCTCCACTCTGTCTTTCTTTTGAAGCTGTCGTCCTCAAAGATATACTGATTTGGTTTGGTGTGGGCATACTTCTTGTGGTATCAGTTGTGGTTCAGGGGCAGTGACTATTGCCAAGGGCTTGGGGCTGGCCCACGTTGGAAGTCAGCCTCTGAGATTTAAGATAGGAGCAGGAGAAACCGCAGTGTAGATGTGAGGCCCAGGCCTCCTGCAGCATCAGCGCCCAGTCACCACACCAGGTGTTATCGTTAAATTCCTGGGGAAAAGAAACAACAGAAGAGAGCTCTCCCTGGGCTGTTGCCAATTTGTCACTAGAGGGGTCTGGGATGAGGGACAGGAGGAGAGTGTACCTGAGGGTGTTGGTTCTTGACTGCCTTCCTGGGCCCTCTGGGGGCTGCTCTTCTCCCCAGCCCCACTACCTACAGGGCTCTGGTGGTGAGACAGGAGCTCATTCCAACCTTGAAGTGCTAAGTATCCAAAGCCACGTGAGTGTGAGGTCAGAATAGAAATGAAAAAGGGTTTCTTTTGATACCCTTGTCTGGAGTCCTTGGGCGGTGCAAACAGTTAATTTGATTGTTCACCGAAAGGTTGGAAGTTCGAGTCCACTCAATGGAACCTCAGAAAAAAGGTCGCGTGATCTACTCCTGAAAAAGTCCTTGAACAGCTTACGGAGCACAAGCCTACCCTATCACACACAGATGGCCATGAGTTGGAAGTAACTCCCTCCAACACACACCTGGGTCGAAGCTAGCGCTCAGTCTCTCTGGTCTCATTTCTTTTGTGGATCCCTGGAGCTCATGTTTCCCTCTCATTCTAGTATCTATTACTCTGTTGCTCTTAACTGGGGAAGGTAACCAGCCAACCTTGCTTTTGACAGAACAAATGAATTAAATGCATTGATTTTTGTAAAGTACTTAGAACTGAGTGTGACACATAGTCACTGCTTAAATGTTAGCTGGAGAGAGGAAGAGAGAAGAGAAGAGAGAGAAAAAGAGAAAGAGAGAAGGGGGAGGAGGAGGAAGGAGGAAGGAGAGGAGAAAAGAGGAGGGGGGGCTTTTTTGTTTTCTTTTAGTTTTTTAATTATGCTTCTTCCTGTAATCATATTAGCTTTCCTAACCCTTTCTCATCGGTTAGTCTTCCCTCCAGGCACATTCGTCATCAGCGTCATGTTCATTTGGCGGGACCACTGTTTCTCTGTTCTTGGTGTGTGGCTTGTGATTTTATCTTATTTTTTGTATATTGGGAATTTTAATGGTGCCGACTGTCTGTTCCCCCCAGTATTTGATGGTGCTGCCTGCAGTACTTTATGCAAACAACCTCTTAGGTGGGTAGAGTTTTTGGCCTTTGCTGGCCCTTTTCTCTCCCTCCTTGTGATAGCTCTGTCTCCCTCCCTGGTGGAATGTTGATGTGAGAGTTCCAGATCTGTTTCCGACTTTCAACATCTCTGCTCTGTGAGCCTACACTGAGGTCAGCCTGTCGACCAGTGAGCATTGCTACTCAAGCAAGATACTGGGTAGGAATCAACCTGTCCCCCAGGCATCGCAGTCCCCTCTCTGTGACGATTCCTCTTTTCCCTTCTTGGTCTCCGCAACCACCTTTTCAGTCTGGAAACCCACCCCTTGCTAACCCCTCTGAGGCTGGGTGTTGCCCTTGGCTTTTCCCCAAGGCCTCCCTCCCTGCTCTGTAGGGGCTGCTTAGATCAGAGGTGGCATTGGGGGGATGCAAAGGCAGACTTCAGTCCATTGCAGGGGAGGCGAAGGGGCAGAAACTCCCCAGCAAGACCTTCAAGATTGCTGTCTTGTTGATTTCCTGCAGTGTTGGGGGAGCCGGCTTCTCTCAGGGGATCCTGCTTTCCCTGTGCCATTTGCCCTGGTTCCCGAGCACTTCCTCACGTTTCCAAGAGGCAACCCTGCTTGGGTTCTCTCTCTCTCTTTCTCAACTTCACACCCAGCAGGGGCCTTTCCGGGCTCCTGCTCTACAAGGCTGCCTCCCCCTTTTCCTGATGCTGCTTCTTGGACCCCATGCCCTCTTCCTGAACCCCAGGTTACTTGGCAGAACCTGTCCATGGCAGCAGGTGCCTCCAATCCACTTCCTTCAGCTTCTCTTCTGCATTGAATATCCTCGGTTTTTCATCTTATCAATCAGAGGTGAAAAATCATATACTTAAAGGATCCTGTAAATGAGATGGGTTCTTGACTTCTGAGGTTACATGAACTTCCTGCTCAGTGTCTTAGTGGATAACATCACCCAGCCAGGAAACCATAATAACCCCGCAACCATCCCAAGGTTCTTCCTGACTGGACTCTGATTGGGAACAACCAATCAGATGCTGGACTCGCCAGGGTCTACTTCCTCTCTGCCCGAGGGACATCACCTCAGTCAGAGCCTCAGGTGGCCTTGATGCCTGGAATCAACGAAAGACTCTTGGTTTTAGTTCTTTCCAATCCGTTTGCCCCTTCAATCAGAGTGGCCTTTCTAAACTTAAATTTTATCTTGTCACGCCACGCCCCCCCCAAATATGTGCTAGAATTCTATTCCCGGCACTTGTGGATAAGGAGCCCTGGTAGCGCAGTGATTAAATACTTGACTGCTAACTGAAAGGTTGGCAGTTCAAACCACTAGCCACTCCACAGGAGAAAGCAGCCCGATGAGAGTCTTGCAAACCCCACAGGGCAATTCCACTCTCTCCGGTAAGGTCTCTGAATTGAGAGTTGACTCGATGGCGAGGGGTGTGGGATTTCTGTTACACCAGCACTAAGATACTGCCACGGCGGCCCTGTAGCTAAAGAGCTCAGTCCCAAATGCCCTGGATGCAAGGCCACGTCACTCTCTGGGCTTTAAGTCTCTTCCAGGTCTTCCCTCTTCCCAAACTCCTCAATACGTGGTCCCTTATGCCTCTCTGCCTCCTGATGTTCCCCCTGTCTGGGACACTCTGCCGGCTCTCCTGCTTGACCACTCTCGATTTACCCTCTTCCAAGCAGCAAGGTCCACTGTCCTTTGTGCTTCCATGTTTTATATAGACGTCTACTGTCACCCTTGCCAAACATATTGGAATGCTGTCTGTTTCTCTTATTCAATTTTTTTTAGTTTTCTATGGGAAGAGCTTCGAGTCTGCCTTCCTCCCAGGAGTCACCTGTTGCGGAATACCTGGATATTTCCATTCTTAGAGCCTAGTTCAATGCCTGGCACACGGTTGTTGTTGTTGGTGGTGTTTGGTGTTGTCAGCATGGCACCCTCAACTCATGACAACCCCATGCACAGTGAAACAGGCTTATGCCTGGCCCTATACCATCCCCATGATCGCTTGCAAATCAGATCATTGCATGTCGTATTGGGGCAGAAGTGGACGTGCAGGGCCACTACATCCTCAGACCTTCCTCTTGGTGTATTACTATCTATAGATTGGTTGAACCCCAAACCGAAAAGTTGACAGAGCTTGTGTTGCATGGAGCTGAAGCAATATGGCCAAGTTTGACTTGGAGAAAGAGCGTTCCGTGAAAGAGACTTGTAGTAAAATGCGATGTTCTTAGCTGAGCTTGTCAACAAGGGGCTGGAGTCTGTTGTTTATTGGGAATTAGATGTGAGATACACTTATCATCTTGGCACCATTCATTAGATGAGTAAGCACTTGTCTCCGGATCACGGACCTGTGGTGACATCGCTTTCACAGTAAAGAAAAGCGGGAAATCATAGTTCTATGTTGTGGTTTTCAGAACTCTAAGTTTATAAACCAATGTTTATCACATTAAGACATTGATCTATAAATAAATTTGAAAGCAGTGATACATCTGGGCCTTTGTGGGCCTCCAGTTGAGGCAATGATCTATAAATATTTGTGTCTGTGTCATTGATCTCTTTATTATTAATGCTGTGGCTTTTGTTATGGTTATCAATCTCATTCTGAATTGCCAGAGTCCTTACAGAGCCTTTGTTCCCTGGCACATGCCCCACGCTAATGAGTTCTTATGCATTTGAGTAACAGAAAGTTCAATCTAATTTTTGGTTTTGTTTCAGATGTATCATTAATATTTGCTAAGTCTTATTATTTTTCTGTGCACCGCCCCCCCACCCCCGCCATTTTAACATATTTTTCTATTCTCCAGAGAGGCTTTTCCTATTTGTAGTGTGTTTTCTTAGTGTTTCAGTGCTCTTTTGACCTATGAGGACAGTGGTGGTTTAGTGGTAGAATTTTCTCCCTTTCCTATGGGAAACCTGGGTTTGCTTTCAGCCCAAGGCACCTCATGCACAGCTACCCCGTGCCTGTCAGCACAGGCTGTGTGTTGTTGTGAGTACTGAGCAGGTTTCTGTGCAGCTCCCAGACTAAGAAGGACTAGGAAGAAAGGCCTGGCGATCTACTTTCACACAGAACTGGGCAGTGTTTTGTCTCATTAGGCAAAGGGTCCTCATGAGTTAGATGTCGGTTTTATAGCAGCCAACTAAACCAACGGCAGCAAAAACATAGA